CCTCCTCCTCCTCCTCCTCCTTCTCCTCCTCCTCCCTCCTCCTCCTCGTTCTACTCCTCCCCCTCCTCCTCTCCTCCTCCTCCTCCTCTCTCCTCCTCCTTCTCATTATCCTTTTCCTCCTCTTCGCCTCCTTCTCCTCCTCCTCCCCTTCCCCTCCTCCTCCTCCTCCTCCTCCCCTCTCCTCCTCATCCTCCTCTTCCTCCCCTCGCCTTCTCCTCCTCCTCCTCCTCCTCCTCCTCCTCCTCCTCCTCCTCCTCCTCCTCCTCCTCCCCAGATCCCAAATCCTCGGGCGTGTTCAGCAAGACCAGTGCAGAGGCTAGTTACAGGCTTGTGGATACCCTGCGGCCTTCGTGGGCCCTCGCTGGTCCTGGGACCGTCAAGAGAAGCTCGTCATCGCTCGGACGTGTTTTTGTCCTTCTCGGCGAGGGTAATCGAGTAGCTTCCTGGATTATCAAACGAAAAAAAAAAAAAACGCGCGCGAAACCGACACTGCACTGGGAATGGACGTCCGAGCGATGGCGAGTTTGGGAGGGCGCCTCGGCCGTCGCGTCGGCCAGAAATCGGGGCAGGATTTTCGTTCGCCAGGGAGCAGCATACCCCTTTCTCAGCCCCCCCCCGCTCTGCGATGTAGACGCGGTTCAGGACGATCGATCTCTCTCTTTCTCTTTCTCTCTCTCTCTCTATATATATGTATGTGTATATATATATATATGTGTGAAAGTAGCGGCTCAGAGCTGCCCCTTTCAGGGGCACGGGGCCTTCCTATCCTGCAGCCAGGGGAGCATGACGTATTGATAGTGGTAGTTGTCAAGAGTGCAGCTTTGTTCGTCCTCCCGTGCGGGCTCCAGGGACGAATGGTCGAGCGCATTCCGCCGCGCAGGATGGTTGCGTGATGTGCGCGGTGGATTCTCGCGCAGCGGAGCGCCCTCGGAGATGCCAAGCTGCATTCTGTTTTGCTCTTGGGGCGTCCGCGAGTCGCAGCTGCAGTCGCGCGATTTTCGAAGCAACCCCTTCGAATGTCGTTCGCTGGCACAGGGCGCGGCGCGCGCTGCGCCCAATCGCACGCGGCGCGGCGCGTGAGTCAGCCGGTCGCGCCCGTCAGACTGCCCGGCAATTATTTCCGGAGTGTAGAATGTTTTGAAACAGTGCGGCCGTTTTTTTGCAAAAGTGGTTCCGGAAACTGTCAAAAATGAGTCCTGGAGCTTCCGATAAAAGTTTTGAGGGGTGGAATGCGCCCGCCGCACAGGACACCGGAAGCATTGCGAATTCTGGAAATGTTCAATATGGTCTCTTGCATTTGTTTAACAAGATGTCGGATTGTTCAATAAGGATCCCAGGATTCCAAAAGTAGGCCGGGCATTTTCAAATCTACCTTCGGAGAATTTCCAAGAGTCGCGCGTGATTTGCCTTCACAGGTCTTTGGGAATCCGCCGAGGCGCGCAGTGCGCGGCGGCGGGCGACGAGGCGGTACGCCGCCGCCCCCTCCCCCCCTGCGTTCGGCAACGAGAAAGGGGATCAGCAAATGCCAAGTAGCCCCCTACGGGCGCCTACTCGATTGCGAATGGGTGACCGACCAGCGGCGCCAGGCAGAGTGGGCATCATTCGACGCAAAGTGCACCCATCGCGAAGGCGGTTCGACATCCCGGAATCCCCGGGGCGCATCAGTAACAAATCGTGTAAGCTGATTCCTCCCGTCCTACACCATGCGTAAGGCCAAGCCCGGACACCCCCTGGGCCGTCCGAGGTCGGGGGCCCTGAGACGGGGTCAATGCAGACGGGGTCAGCCAGGGCACCAGATCCTGCAGGATCCTGCGAAGACCCCCTCTGGCTGACCCGGGTTAGCGAGCCGCTCGTGGCCGCGAGGGGGCCGCGCCTATTGGCTGATCCGGGTTTGCGACGACCTGCGTTGCAGTTGTTTCTCCTGCATCTCAGTTGTTTGGTTTCCTCCTGCTCCTCCTCCTCCTCCTCCTCGTTCTACTCCTCCTCCCCCTCCTCCTCCTCCTCCTCATTCTCATTATCCTTTCCTTCTCCTCCTCCTCCTCCTCCTCCTCCTCCTCCTCCTCCTCCTCCTCCCATCGGCCCGGGAGAGCGGGGTCCGCGTTTCCAGGGGCACCACTTCGGCCCCCTCGTCCTGCACGTGCCCGTCGTGGATTCGGCCCCGCCGTCGGCCAGCGGGGCTCGTTTCGACCCCTCCTCGATCGATTCGATTCTGACGGCTTCCGATTCCGATTCGATTTGATTTGGGCAATCGGGTGTTCCGATATCTTATGGGGATAGTAGTACCAGCCTCCGCCGACGCGACTTGCCCCGGCTCGGCTGCCATTTTTCTGCCGAAGCGATTCATGTCGATCGCCGATCCGAGTTGTGGGTTCGAGTCTGGGCTCCTCCTGGCGGTGCCCCCAGCGGTTTCGCCAGCAGGCTCCGCCCAAGGTGTCGAGATTGCGTGCTTCATCTTTTGGCGCGTGACGGCCCCCTGCCCTGGCCAACCTCCCCCTTCCCCCTGTAGCGTCGACGATCTTACGTGGAGGGTGGGGGGGGCTGCCCTTTTTCCCCACATGCTGGTGGCCGCGCGCACACTGTGGCGCAGCGCGCTCACGCCCCGACGTACCCCCCCCCCCCAGCCCAAGCGCCCCCGCACGGGTAACGACCACTGTCGGAGAACAGGAACAATTTCATAGCGACACGGATCCCACGGTCAATGAAGTTGTTTTGCGTGCAGCTTAACACGGGAACGCGTCTTGGATCGCAAGGGTTTGGGTTACGTTTCTCTTGGGTCTCAGGATCTGTCCAGGCCCCCCTCGTCCTCATCTTCGACGTCCTGAGGGCCCGCGGCGTCTGCGGCAGTAACCTTTTCTGGCTGAGCAAAGGTCCTCAGCCTCCCTCCTCCCTCTTGTTTTCATGGGCAACGTTAGGGAGGGATAGGCCGGGGTGGGGTGCCATCATCGCCCAATCGCCCACTGATCGCCGATAGGGCCCGATAGCCCCGGCCTGCCCAGGAACGCACGGCTTCTCCATCGGAGGCCCATTGCCGATCGATCATTCATTTCTAAGCAATTGGGGATGCCGGTGGCTTGGGGCGCGCCCCGATTCGCAGCCTGTATGCATCAACGACGTTGCAGTGAAACCTCCCTCCAAGATCCCTCTGTGTAGGTCCCTACAGGCATTTATGCGCATCACAGGAAGCGCCTATTGGAAGACAACGTCTTGAGAACCTTCAATCATGCCAAAGAGTTCTGGTTTGCCAATGCAGCGAATCAGCGTGACTGCTGCCTTTTGACATTCGTGATTGGTGCCAGAACCCTTCTTCTAGCATTGCAACTCCTGATACGTTCGGGGATGCGACAGGGATGAGTTGTTCGGAAAAAAAGATGAAGGAATCGGAGGAGGAGGAGGAGGAGGAGGAGGAGGATGAAGAGGAGGCAGAAGGAGGGAGGAGGAGGGAAGGAGGAGGAGGGGGAGGAGGGGAGGAGGGAGGGAGAGAGGAGGGAGGAGGCAGGAGAGAGGAGGGAGGAGGGGAGGAGGAGGCAGGAGAGAGGAGGAGGAGGAGGAGGAGGAGGAGGAGGAGGAGGAGGAGGAGGAGGAGGAGGAGGAGGAGGAGGGAGGAGGAGAGGAGGAGGAGAAGAAGGAGGAGGAGGAGAGGAGGAGGAGGAGGAGGAGGAGGGGGAGGAGGAGGAGGGAGGAGGATGAGGAGGAGGAAGAGGAGGAGGAGGGAATGCAGGAGCAGGAGCAGGATGAGGGGGAGGGGGAGTGAGCAGGGAGGAGGAAGGATGGAGGAGTGAGGAGGGGTGAGGCAGGAAGGAGGAGGGAGGGGAGGAGGGAGGGAGGAGTGAGGAGGGAGAGGGAGGAGGGCAAACGCAGCAGGCTCGCTCCTGATGCCGGTCTAACGTAAAAAGGAGGGAGGAGAGAGGAAGGATGAGGGAGGAGGGACGAGGGTGGAGGGAGGAGGAGGGAGGAGGGAGGAGGAGGAGGAGGAGGAGGAGGGACGAGGGTGGAGGGAGGGAGGGGGGGAGGGAAGGAGGTAGGGAGGGGGGGAGGGGAGGCAGGAGGAGGCCAGGCCCCAGCACTTGCCCGCCCGCGCGCTCCCGCGCTCCGCACCCCGCGCGGCCGCCCACCGCCCGCGCGGGAGGCGCCCCGGGACAGGCTCCCGGACTCTGCCGCGCTGGAGGGCTGGCTCTTCGGAGATCGGGAGGGTCGGTTCGGCCACGCGCGGAGGTGAGTGCAGAGGGGACCCGTGCCAAGAGACACCCTGCCTGCCTCCAGGGTGCCCCGGGTTTCTCGTGCGTCGATGGTTTTGCCACGGAAAACGCAGCGTCCCCACAGCAGAAATCGATGGACGTCCTGCGGTCTCAGGGTTCGGTTTCTTGTGGAAGGTTTCTTGTGCATTGGCTTCCACTGTATGGGGAGGGGAAGCTTCTCTGAAGCACCCGTACTGCTTAGATGGCGCATCGCGTGCCTCATCTGCAGATGCAGGGCCGCATGTCCCCCGAGTAGCCTGGGGCAGATTCACCCCCCGGGCGGCGCCCCTGGGATGTTCCGCGCCCCAGTGTTGGAGGTGTTGACTCATGGCCGGGGCTACTCGGGGGGATGGGCCCATTGAGGCTAGCTGGGACTACTCGGGGGGGCCCGTTGGGGTCGGCCGGGACTGCCAGGGGAGGCTGGCCGTCTCTGTGCGACGCACGCATCCTCACCGATGCAGACCGAGCGACCGCAGTGATCCTTGGAAGCGACGTGGCCCAACCCCACGGTTATGATGTTCCAACCTACGTTAGCCTCGATCACCAGGAAGAATTTCGAGCACCAGAAAGGTACCGAATCTCAAGGGTTTTCACGTGTCGGGCCCTGGGAGACACTCGCCCGACACTGTTTCGACACTCTTTCGACACTCTCCGGGGTGCTCGGAATTGTTTCTGGGACGTGGTCCTTATGCACGGTGGGAGAAACTCGGGTCGGACGAAAGGGGGGGATTGGGAAAGGGGGGGTTACGAAATCTGCTGCATGCAGCTGGTTTCGGCCTCACCGAGGGGTCCATTCCTCGATACATGGCCGCCTCCGGCGCCGGGAGGCGCCGGGAAAATCAGCTACGTGAGCTGATTCTCAACCCCCCCTTTTGCTATCCCCCCCTTTCGCCCGGCCCGAGAAACATAACCCCAGGGTGGCGCACGCCCCGAAAGCCTGTGCGCCACCCGGGCCGGGGGCGGCGGCCCCCAGGGAGGGAGAGAGAGGGCTGCCAGGGGCGGGGCGGAGGCGCCGCGGGCCTGGAGGTCGTCGCAGGCCCTGCCTCCCTCCTGCGGCGGGGGCTCGGGCTCTGCCTCGGAGGGGAGCGGTCGGGCGACAGAATCCGTACATGCCTGGTGGGCCTGTCTTCCACCACCACCTCCGTCACAAGACGGAGGGGGAAGGAGGTGGGGGACACGGAGGAGGAGGACGAAGAGGAGGAGGAGGAGGAGGAGGTGGAGGAGGAGAACCCCCTCCCCCTCTTACTTCTGGTGGCGGCGGTGGAAAACAGGCCCACCAATGTCCACTGCCCACTGGCTGGCCGGCCGGCCTGGGCCGAGGAGGTGTGTTATACGCCTCCCTGGCCAAGGGAGGCGGGTGTGGCGTAAGTATGCACCTCTGCTGGGTTCCCGATGGGCCTGGCCAGGGAGCAGAGGATCATACAGGCCTCGGAAGAAATTATGCGAGCATTCGTGCCGCATTCGTTGGCAGTAGGTGGAACGAGCTGCACTCCAACCGCAATCTTGCCCGCGCGCGCCAGCTTTGATGTCTGGGGGAGTGGGAGAGTGCCCACGGACTGTTGCCTGCTGCCGTGGTGTGTACAGACTCTGTCGTCCTGCTCGGGTGTGCTCCAGTCAGGAGGGGAAAAAACACGCAGACACAATGAACCGTCGATTCCCCGGAACATATAGGAAAATGAGGGAAGTGGGGGGGGAAGACGAAAATCCAAACAGATATGTAAGAATATGGGGGATCCTGGTGTTTGTGTGTGCATTTACGTGTGTGTCCTGGGGCCCCTTCATCCGGGGGTGTGCCCGGAGCAGGCAGCTCTGGAGGCGGCGGCCCGCGCGTGGCCCCGAGTGGAGCCCTCCCCCCCCCTCGCCCGAGCTCTGCACGCGGCGCGATCTGTCCCTTCCCTCGCTGGGGTCATGTCGGGCGTGTCCCCCTACAGGGGGATGTTCGACGAAAAACAAAAAAATACCCCCAAAATGCCCCAAGAAGGCCAAACAAAACTCAATGAAATAGTCCCCAGACTTTGGAGCATGTTTTGATTATTGTTGGGGTATTGTTTATTGTTCGTCGAAAATCCCCCTGTGGGGGGACAGGCCCGACTTAACGCTCGGGTTTGGAAGAGCTGCACGGTGCGCTACTTATCCTGGCCTCGTCTTTGTTTTGCTCGCACGGTTCGACGTGTCAGAGGTTCTGAATCTGCAGAGGGGATCGGCAGAACGAGACACGAGAGAACATACCTGCAGCCCAAGGCCAAGTCTTCTTCCCTTTCCTCCTCCCTCTCTTCTGGCGGCGGCGGCGAGCGAAGGGGGAAATGAGAAGGAGAAGACCTTCTCAGAAGGCGGCGGGACTTCTTAGAAGCCCTCGCGCCTTCTGAGAAGTTTGTTTGTCATCGGGGAAGGCTGAGTAAACTTCTCAGAAGGCCACGGGATCTCCGAGCCTTCCGAGAACGCCTTCTCTTTCTGACTGTCCCCCCCCTCGCCTTGGCATCGCTCGGACGTGTGCATATTTTCTCGGCGAGAACCATCCTGGACCATCGAGCAAAAAAACACGCACGAAACCGACAAATGCACGGGAAATGGACGTCCGAGCGGCGAACCATCGGCCCAGAGTCGGCCGATACTGACCCCTCTGCGCTACCGGACAGCCACGAGACTGCTCGAGGCGGAACGAGCGGCCCGGGAGGACACCACTGCGCGAGGTGGAGCGACCCACGCGGCATCAGAGGTCACGTGTCGGCGGCGAGGGGCGGGGGAAGTGGGGAAGGAGGAGGAGGAGGAGGAGGAGGAGGAGGAAGAGGAGGAGGAGAAGGAGGAGGGGGGGGAGGAGGGGGAGGAGGAGGAGAAGGAAGGAGAAGGCCTTCTCAGAAGGCTCGGAGGTCCCCTCGGCCTTCTGATCAGTTTTCCGAGCCCTCCCCGAAGACACAGAGGCCTTCTCGGAAGGCGCGAGGGCTTCTGAGAAGTCCCGCCGCCTTCCGAGAGGGCATTCTCCTTCTCGTGTCCCTCCCCTCGCTCGCCGCCGAACGGCACTGAGGGTTCATTCAACGTCAACCATGAGGGTGAGGTGCTCACTTCGGGAACCTTCTTGGGGCCCACCTGACAGAATGCTCGACTCCAGTTCGTCCCCATTGGACGGTCAATCGGCGCATCATCGACTCATGAGTGGAGCGAGTGGCTCCAGGAGGGTCCCCAGAACGAACATCGAATTGGAGATGGGGAGGAGGGAGGGGAGGAGCAGGCAGGGGAGGGATATGGGGGAGGGAGGGGGTATGAACGCGGGCCCTGTAGAAATATGCAGGGTTCCCCGCCGTCTTGGAGACGAGGAAAGGATGCGGAGGGAGGATGGGCAAGCGGATGGTCGGGGGAACAAGGGGTGGGGTGGAGGGAGGGAGGCGAGGATGAGGATGAGATTAAGGATGAGGATGAGGATGGAAAAGGAAGAGGAGAAGGAGGAGATGGATGAGAAGGATGAGGATGCAGCGAGGGCCCCTGCGACGTAGAGCAGGCATGGCACTTCCTCATCCCCTCCTCTCCCTGACTCTCTCCCCACCTGCCTCCTCTCCCTCCCCTCCCGCTCCTCTCCCTCCTGCCCTCCTCTCCCTCCACCTCCGCTCCTGCCCCCCTCCCCCCTCCCCATCCCTCCTCGGCCTCTTCCCTCCCTCTCCCTCCCCTCCCCCTCCCGCCCCTCCCGCCTGGAGCGCGCCGCGCCACTCGGCGATGGCCGGGCCAGGGTCGCACCCCGTGCGCAAGCTCCACGGCGTCCGGGTGGACCCCACCAGGACAGCACCGAGCGCTCCCGCAGCACCTCCGCCCTCCCCGTCCCTGATGGGCCGATCTTCCACCACCACCACCACGATGGACCACAGGTAGGCGGAGGAGGAGGAGGAGGAGGAGGAGGAGGAGGAGGACCGCCTCATCCTCCTCCCCCGCCCTACCGATGGTAGTGGGGGTGGAACACATGCTCGTCGTCGCCGCCCTCGTCCCCGCCCTCCTTCTTATCCTCCGCAGCCCTCCCTCCAATCCGCCTCCACGGCCCTCCCTCCCTCCTCCCCACGGCTCCTGTTCGACCCCTCTGGCCAGAACCTCAGGGCGCCCCCCCCCCGACGCAAAGGTGAGCGCCCAACGGAGGCCCAAGTGTTCCACCTGGCGAAGCATCCACCTTCGCTGTCCAAGCGATCGGAAATCAACTCAACGCGCAGGGGGCCACCACGCGCGCTATCAGCGCCGTGGCTGCTGCCAGAGCCCGCTTCCCAGGACGAAGCGGAGCACGAATGGGGCCGCTCGCGACGGCCAGTCTTGCGACACCAGGCCTGGAACCACCGGGCTCAAAGGCGGGGCCCACAGCCAAGGCATCAAAGGACAGCGGCCACGGAAACCTACATATGCAAACCCCAAGCTCACCAGAGCACGAGCACAGGATTTGCCGCGGCTGCTTCGCCTTCGCGCGGGCACAGGCGCGGCGAGCCCGTGCGAAGTGACGACGACGGCGGCGGCCATTTTCCCCCCCTCGCGTCACCTCCTGCCGCCGCTGTCGGGCCGGTCGCCGTGGCTGCCGCGCCGTCCCCCGCCTCGTCCTCCAGGCTGTCGCCGGGATGCGGGGACGTCCCCCCTCCCACCCTCTGCCGAGATGCTCGGGGGCCCCATGGCTCGTGTCGCAGCCTGGGCGTGTGCCCCGCTTGTCATGCAAGGCCACGCTCTACGCACCGAGCCCCTGAAGACACAGGCTGCCCTGGCTCCGCTGACGGCGGTGAGTCTCACACTGCTCACTTCGCCAGCGTCAGCGCCACTCTCCTGGATGCCAACCAGGAGGTCCATGTCCGGGAGCACGAAGGTGCCACCATCATCGCTCTCCAGGAGAGCTTACACCCAGCTGACCATACCCACGCCGTCGGCAAGAGCATGCGATCATCGGAGAACTGTGCCTGAAGACTATTGGGGCGCAGCCCAGCGTTTGACGACGTGCAACGCAAATGCCACTGGGGTGACCGACCTCAGGGTCCTGCATCGCTGCCGGGGGATCCCTTGTTGACACGGCGCAGGACGACCCCGAGGTGGATGGACAGGCATTTCACCCCGACATGCACGCCACCATTCGGGTGCGGAAGCGGAGGGTCTGCAACAAGAACGGCATCAATGGCATCTGCGTTGCGCCTGTCTTCGCCAAGCCTGGCGCGGACAACGCCCCCCTCTTCCACCAGATTTGGGAGGCTACAAAATGGGTCGGCGGCGCACCATGCTTCATCTGCATGGGCGCACAGAGCGGCATCAAGGGTTCAACCTCAGTATCCCGACGAAAACGGCGCGCACCCATGGCCAACACCTCGTTCGGAACAGAAGAGCGCCTGGAACGGGCCAGACCCGAGTCAATCTGCGCACCAGCGCCAAAGGCAGGCAGCCCGTCATCAATTTCGTCCTGCGTCGAGACCTCCCCGCCAAACACCACCTAGGCCTCCGTGTCCTTCTCAGGGCACCAGGCAGCCAGCGATAAGACTTAAGGCTGCCATCCCCTTCCCATTGGGGCACACAGCAATAGCGATGAACACCGCGCCCTGTGTGACTCCATCGAACAGGCTCACCGACGCGAGTGGCGGCCGCTGACGACGCAGACGACGTGGGCAAGCCGCCCGCGATCGCCTTGCTGAGCTTGCCGACAGACGCCCACCTCAAGACCGACGACAAACCTGCCATCAGGCAAGGTAGAGTCACAGTCTTCAAGGATGGGCACGCTGCCTTGCTGGTCTGGCCTGAGCACGGCACCTTTAACACCTCCCAAGACAAGTTAGAGTCATCAGGGGGGGTTTGATGGCGCAGCGCCAGTACGCAACCGAATGCGGTAAACATGACCCCGCCATTGGGCCAGCATGACATGAAGCGCCACTGGTTTGCCGCTAGCGCCCACGCAACACGGATTCGCCCTGCCAGCCCCGCAAAGTCCCCGCGCGTCCGAGACCGCTGACAGCCCCCAACTGACGTTCCACTCGACGACATCATGGCCGCTACGACCGGGCACGTGAGACGCCCCCAATCGCGACAGAAAAACCACACGTCTGCGATTGGAGTGACCGCGCGCGGGCCAAGGGCGGGGATTGGGCTGAAAGCCAGCTGGCAAAGCGGCGGGCAGTTCCAACGTTCCAACGCCGCCCACCTCCGCACCCCGGCACCCCGCGCGCTACCAGGTACATGCAGGGGCCCAGAGGTGGAGCGCGACGCGCCGGGCCAGGGCGCGCGCCCCGCCGCCGCGCCCGGCGACGCCGCCGCGGACGCTGACAGCGAAAGCGACATTGCCCAGGTCCACAGCGAGCCAATCACGAGTTCGCGGACACCAGTGCCACGATATCAAGTTCATGACTGGCACCTAGGAGCTCCATCCTCGGCAGATGCCGCGCCGCCGAGGGCCCGGTCGACGAGGTCGCGTCCACCTGGGGCGATTTTAATTAGCTGGGCGCCGCCTCGAGCTCCCCGGGCCCGCGCCGCCCGAGCTTTTCGCCCTGCCCAACGGCGACTGCATCCTTTTCGTTGCGGCGGGATTCGCAGATGGACGCCGACAGAGGCCGAAACGTTTCCCGACTTTTGCGCCTCTTTGCCCGGGCGCTGAGAGCCATGCGACGCGCGGGGGTCGCCCCTGAGACGCCGCCGCGCGCTCCGAACCAGCGCCCGCGGCGCGGGAATTACGGCGCAGTCGCGTCTATTTGGGCGCGCTCGTGGGAGGCGCCAGTTTGCTTGCGCCGGGCCGCCTGGGAAGCGCCCTGGACTCGCTTGGCCAGTTTCGGAACTGCCCCGCGCGCCGCCATTGGCGACGTCAGCGCCGCACGCGCCTTGCGGCGCACAAGTGCGCGACGGCCGCGGAGACCGCTGGTTGGGGTTGCCCTTGACAGACAAAAATGCCGCGACTACCTGGTCGCTGACCTTTGTTTCAACCCGGCCCTGCGCGCCGAGCGCCCTCGAGACGTCGCGCGCGCAGCGCAGAGCTTCTGCGGCAACCGCCGTCGCTCCATCCGCGCGGGGGGGGCCCGCTCCCCGCCTTTGCGGCGCGCCAGCGGGGGCCTGCGAGGCGGCGCGCCCTTTCTCCCGCGACAACGTCGAGCTCCTCGCGCGCGTCTTGGCAACGCGACAACACGGACGCGCCGCGTCATTCTCAGCTCCGCTTCATTCAGTCGACGACAGCAATTCAACCGACTCTGCTGCATGGGAAATTCAGACATCCCCCGTCCAGACGGTCCTATCCGACAAAATGTCGGGCCAGAATGCCCACCCGGGCAGAGTGGCGGGATGTGTCATCTGAGGAGATTTCGCGCAGTAGGTCGCCGATCTCCACCTGCGCGGGCAAACGCTCAACGCTCAACCTGGAAGCCGCCCCAGATGCCAGGGTTTAACAGCCATCGATCTTCGCCCCCTCGTCGGGCGCCCCCGGAAGGCGCCGCGCCGCGGGCGCGATCCGCCCGATCCTAGGCCGCCAGCGCGCTCGCTGCAGGCGCGGACATTTAAGCCCCAAGCGAAATAGCTCGCAAGCTTTACGACATCGAGGCCGTTAGACCCAGACGGCGCCCCAGGATCTAGCATTCTACGCCCCAGCGGCTCGGCCGCGCGATGGAGCCAGGCGCCGCGGGCCAAATCGCGGCGCCGCCGGAGTTCCGGAGGCAGGCGCGGAGAGGTGCCAGTCAAGAAGCCGAGGCTGCCGAAGCCGGGTCGCGTCGAAGCCGAGCGCGAATCGCGCGCGGGGGCGCGGGGGCAGCCCCGTCGGCAAATTTAGGCAAACCATTGCCCCGCTCGATGTGCGATGGCTGGGGTACCCGACCCACGTGGATCCACGAGTTTGCCGGCCTTTTCACCCGCGTGTCTCGCGCCTCGCAGCGGGGGGCCCTCTGCCGGCGCGTCTAGGGCCAGGCGCGATCTGGGGGCCGGCGCCGCCGTCAAGCAGGGCCTTGAGTACTTGGCCAGCACTTGTCTTCCCAGAGCCCATGGCCAAGTCAAATGCACGGAATGGCAACTCGGGCCCTTGTGCAACAGAAGCGGCCACGCCCGACAGGAAGGTCGCGGCCGGCATCTTGGCCGACCCGTCCGCCCCCCCTGCGCAGGCGGCGCGATCAAGGAGGATGACCCAAGAGCACGCTGTCTGGAGATGCCAGCGCTGTGCAAATCAGAGGACGGCCCTCGCGATCATGACTGCCGAGTGACGTTTGCAAAGTCTCCACCTCGCGCCCGGCATTGCGGCCCCCAGGGAGACGACCCCACTCCGCTTGACTTCGAGGCCACCCTGGCGGGCGACGAGCTCCTACAGCCCATCCACAGAGTCCCTGGGGCGCGCTGGCGACGACGGCTACCAAGAATGCGCCGCTGAATTCGGCGCTTGCTGGGTCTGCACCTCCACCCGCGGCGCTTGCTCTGACCTGGCCCGCCCCCTCGTGGCCGCGGCGGTCTTCGGGGCGCACCGCGGGCCAGACCGCTCGCTCAGTCATTTTGCGGGGGCCGGCAGCCTCGCGCAGTCCGCGCGACGCGCCGAAACTCTCGCCATGCTCCACGCGGTGGCCGCTACCGAACGACCCGCGCGCGTCATCGTGGACAACCCAGTTGCGGCGGGCGATTTCGGTTTCGGAGACCTCCTCCAGGGTGAACCGCTTCAGCGCGTCAGACCGCAATCGTGCCTCTGGCATGGGGTCCATCGCGCGCTCCGAGTCGAACCGGATCCACTCGGCAAAATCCAGCGGGTCGAAAGCCACCTTGGCGCGCTCGGCATCAACGGCGGCCTCGCCGCAACCATCGCGGGGGCCTGTGGCTGACGCACCGGCGAACTCGCTGCCACGAGGGGCCATGCTTGACGCCCCGCGCCGCGGGGCGCCGCCGACGGTGCCGCGCTGCGCTGCGAGAGCGCCGCGGGTTCTGATCAAAATTAGACGGCGCGCCGCGGCCGCCGCCGCCCATGATCAACGGCGCCGCGCGCGCCCTCCCCCCCCGCGGGCGCGCGCGGTATTTCGGGGCGGAGCTGTCTCACGTGGACATAAACTTGCTCGCCACCTGCCTGGGCGGACAACGCGTCGTCGCGCGCGGAGCACCGCCTCCCGCGGCGGAACCAACAGGCCCCGCTTTGTAGTGATGAGCTCGACGACCCCCGGGTCCAGCGCGCGGAAGTTCTCGCCGCTGACGACGTTGAACGGGCCTCCGTCAGTGGCGAAGACGACGACGCTCGCCCGCCGCGGAAACGGCGCGCCGAAAACGTCCACGCGGCGGAGGGGGCACGCCGACGAAAGTGGCCCCGCCCCGCCCCGCCTGGGAGAGGACCTGCGCGCGGTGGGCGAGGGGTCGCGGTTTGCGCCCCACGCGCTAGCGCCGCCGCTCCAATTCGTCGGGCTGGCGGGCGCCACTGCGAACCCGCCCTCCCGACGCAGCGCTTCCAGCCACCAGGCGCCCCCCTCCCCCGCCCCTCGCGGGAATTGGGGCCGAGGGCCCTCGTGCCGCCCGCCAGGGTGCTGGCAACCGAGTGACCGCAGACTATCGCATTCATCGGAAGAACACCCTCACCCAGCACTTCGCTTCGAGTCGTCACCGGCGAGAGGAGGTCCACGAGACAATTTGCGTTGCCAGAAGTCAAACACTTCGCCAGCGCGCCAACCAGGTGGTGACTTCGCTTCATCAGACACAGGAACATACTTCACCTGTCATTGACAAGCTCTACCGTGCACAAGAGGCCTGGGGTCTTACACCACAGGCGTCCCGCCGCGATGCGACTATAGCTCCAGGCCTTCGTCGACCCCACAGAGAGGTGCACCAGTGCTCGCCTCCTACCATGGTGACCGCGAGAACAGGTGGCACCTGTGTCCGTTGTCTGCCTCTTCTGGGCCGTTGCGGAGGCCGGGGTGGCATTTCTTCTCGCAGGGCGCCGACGCGCGCATGCCACCCCACGCTTGAGGCTCGCGCTTCCCTACGTGCGGTGGAGCGGACGGGCCCCCGTGGGGTTTGAACACCGCCAACCCGCTTCATTTTCCAGCTGGAGACCGTCGTGTGAAGTCGGGCCTGTCCCCTTACTGGGATTTTCAACGAAAAATAACAAATACCCCAACATACAAAAAATAGTCAACAAATGGTATGGGGACTATTTGTTGAGTATTTGTGTTTACCTTTTTAAAGCATTTTTGAAGTATTTGTTTTTATTGTTTCATCGAACATCCCACTGTATGGTGGGCGCGCCCGACACAACCGTAGTGTCCGCGCCATGGAGGAGGTTATCCCATCATCCTTGTTGATCAAGCGGCGCTTCCCACGTAACGAGGCGGGCCCACCACAGCACGCGTGGTTCAGGGGCCTGGACGACGGTGCCATCCGCTGTAGTGCGTGTTTTTAATTGTTTCTTCTGTTTTTTTGTTATGCGGTGTTTCTCATCATCATGCTTGTTTGTGTGTTTTCGTGTTTTCCCTTTGTTTTTCTGTGTCGTTATGTCTGTCTCTCTCTCTCTCTCTCTCCTTCACCGTCCTCCTGTGTCGGTCGTGACCCAGTCGGGTCGGCAATGTGGAACTTGTACTGTCTGCCACGAGTCGCACCGAGTCAAAATTCAGCGTCGCCTTCCTTCCCTCCTGCCTCCTCAGGGAGCCCTTGAGGCGTCTGGAGGCCCAAGAAGAGCCCACACCGTCCAAACATCATGTGGGCTCCTTCCGCCTTCCTTCCCAGGCACCCGGCGCTTCGATGTTTCGGGTTTCTCGGCTTTTCCCCCGGGCTGGAGCAGCGCAGCCTGGGCGACAAGAAGTGCTCCACCCCAGCACAGAGCAGCGGTGCAATAGACAGCATGGTCGAGTGCGCATGGCCCACTTTCGGATTCCCAGTGCTCCTGCGAATGTGATGCCCACGTGTCATGGCGCCAACATCGCAGAGCGGATTTCGTTCGGAAAATAATATTGACATCGTTCGGACGTGTGTATTTTTCTTTCGGCGAGGACCATCGAGGAGCATCCTCTATGATTTGGCGAAAAAACCACGCACGAAACCGAAAAAACAGGGAATGGACGTCCGAGCGATGGCCAGTAATGGGATGGGCCCGGATTGCCCTGGAGCAGTTCGCTTCGGATTTCGAAATGAATTTCGCGGTTTGTTTGTGTGTTGTTTTGCCAGGAGTGAGGATGACCGCGTGAAGTGAGCTTCGTCTTTTGCTCGCCGTGTCGGGGTATCGCAGTGGCAGAAATCCACGCAACAGTTCGCTGCAGCACGTTTGCAGGGTCGGTGCGGTGACGTGGCGCGTTTTCGTGCAGCCTTACATGGATGGATTGCTCCTTCAGCGCCGTGCAGCAGTGCGGCGCCCCGGCGCCAGGTTATTGGGCCCCCGCCGGTCCTCATGTTTACGGCACCTCCGACTCCGGGCCCCGTCCACCCTACTCAAAACCATCCCTCCAGCCTGAAATCGGGCATGTCCCTCTACACGAGGAATGTAAAGAATAGTTCTACATAGTCTCCTGACGATTTGTTGTGCTGCTTTGGCTGTGCTTGAATGTGTTCGAGTATGTTCGAGTATGTGTGATCTTTCGTCCAAACTCCGCCTGTCGGAGGACATGCCCGACCTAACTCTAGCCAGCTTCCCTCCTTCCCCTCCTGCCTCCGAAGTCCTGCCTGCTGGTGGCGGTGCCGCTGCTGCCGTGGCTGGCATTGGTGGGGGCGGCGCAGTCTTGTGCGGGGATCCCCACCAGATGGCGGCCCGCGCAAGGTGGGCAGCTTTGCCGCGAGATGACGCCGAGAACGTGCCGTGAAAGGGGGCCGTGGTAATCAAGCCAGGTTTGGCGGTGCTGGGTCAGTTGCTCGCACCGTGAGTGCGAGTGGCCGTGGTCCTGGATCCGCGCGGGCGGCCTCGTTTAGCACCCTCTGGTTGAATCCCCCCCTGATGGGCCGATATTCCATCACCACTGTTGTAGGTGTGGGTGGGAGGCGGAGGAGGAGGAGGAGCAGGAGGAGGAGGAGGAGGACCTCCCCATCCGCCCTTCTCCCCCGTCCTATCTATGGCAGTGCTGGTGGAAAGCTGGCCCATCACCTCCTCCCTCCCCTCCCCCTCCTCCCCCTTCCCCTCCCCCTTCTCCCCCTCCTCCCTCCCTCTCTCCCCCTTTCCCCCTCCTCCCTCCCCCCTCCCTCCCCCCTCCCTCCACAATTATTCAAAATAATCCCCCCTTCCCCTGATGACGGGTTGGGAGTGTTCGCTCCCCCCTGCGTACTGTTTTTGTTATACACAGGATTCCCCGGAGTTGGGTTTTCGCCTGCATTTTGTTCAAAATGCTGTTCTCGCTGAGGTGCCGGCCTCATTTTCGGGCCCCGCTCGTTCCGAATCGTGCTCCCGCTGCAGCGCTGGCCTCGGTTTCCATGCTTCCGCTCGTTCCGCTTCGTGCTCCCGCTGCAGCGTTGGCCTCATTTCCGCGCTTCCGCTCGTTCCGAATCGTGTTCCCGCTGCAGCGTTGGCGTCATTTCCCGTGCCATGCCACGGCATACAATGCAATGCTAGGTTGCGTTCCGTTGCGCGATGCCATGCCTTCAGCTGAAGCTGTGATATGCAGTGATTAAGTGCCACGTCGTGCTATGCCATGCTACGCTTTGATCTTCAACGCCATGCTATGCAATGTTATGTTCGGGGCCGCTGTGCGATGCCATGCTTTGCGTTTCGAAGCTTTGTGATGCAATTCTTCACTACGCCACGCCACGCCATGCTGTGACATGCTACGCTTTGCGGTGCTCTTCTACGCCATGCCATGCCCTGCTCTACAATGCATCGCGTACCCTTTCGGGATCATTGCCCTGCTCGACATCCGACTGTGCGAGTAGAGAAGGGGATCTACGCCAGGGTAAGAGATGGGAGGGAGGGGTAGGATGTCAGATATGACGCGAGCGCACCTAGCTTGCCATCCTCCTCTCCCCCCCCTCCTCCCCCCCCTTCCCCCCGAGGAGCAGCCTGGAGCTGGACCTGATGATGGACAGGCCGCTGCTGGCCCAGCGCGGCCACCTCCACCGGCTGCTCACGGGCTGCCTGGTGCACAACGGCGCCACTGCTCTGGGGGTGGGCGGGGGGGGGGGGGAGCCACGCGCAGGAGGGTGGGGGATGGGGCGGCGGAGGGGGGGCAGAGGGGAGGAGAGGGGGAGGAGGATGAGGGGGGGTGGAGGGGCAGGGGGGAGGAGGATGTTCGGGAGGCAGAGGAAGAGGAGGAGCAGGCGGAGGAGGAGGAGGAGGAGGAGGAGGAGGAGGAGGAGGAGGAGCAGGAGAAGGATGACGCGGCAGTGGGAGCAGGAGGAGGATGCTGTTCTACAACAACCGTGCAGATGGTTAGGCAGGACATATGTTTGTTCAGAGCGGGCGTGGCCAGCACGGACACCAATAAGCTCTCGAGAAGAGACCAAGAGCACACTGCGGCAAAAGCATGGCCTCACATCCGCGGCAACCCCAGGCATGAATGAATATTCAGGGAGGCCCATCTTGAGAACCAAGTCAAGCACAACCAGCGAGCTACGGCGCGCAAGACGTGTTGCACAAGGAACCGGCACAACCATTAACGTCGTACGGTTGTGCACACGACCCCCAAAAAACAGCCGTGGCGTTCAAGCCGATAGCCAGTGAGTAGGACCAGCGCATACAGCTGCGCAGCACCACATTGCCACCGTGGTCAAGGCGTCACTTCCGAAACCAATACGGGCCCACATCGTATTGTACCATGCGGGGATGAGATGGGGACGCGAAGGTATGACATCAAAACAGCAAGATAATGACGAGGAACTTGTACGTACATTCACAGGCGTAGTCACCCGCGCAGTCGCCCCAGACGCTGGCGAAGCAAGTCCTCATAGGGGTCCCATAGGCCCCACGGTTCTAGCCACTGAGGAAGAACAGAACACGTTGCATACCAAGCAAGTTGCCAACAAAGAAGCTGATGGACACGCACGCCCCACGTAGCACATCCAGACGCTCACCGATAAGGAACAACCTAAAAAAGAAGCTTAGGCCAATCTGAATCAGAAGCCCAACCACCAGCGTTCAAGTCAGCACACGTATGGTACAGCCCCAGGGCATCGCGGCGCAGGCAGTTATCTCGCTCAAGCCAATGCTGGTCTGCGCCGAGATGGTACTTGAGGGGATTTGGAGGAGGAGGATGAGGAGGGGGAGGGGCTGGGATGAGGGGGGAGGATGATGCGAGAGGTGGAGGAGAAGAACAGGGGGAGGAGGAAGAAGATGTTGGTGATTCTGATGCTGAGGATGATCATGATACTGATGATTATGTAGCTCATGATGATGCTGCTGAGATAAGCTGTTGGCCTGCGGCGCCGTCTTGATGACCAGGTTGAATCTATCCTACTGTGCTGGCCTCGCGTTGCGGCGCCAGCAGGGCGGATACCTTCGGCTCTTCGTCCTCGGTCCTCCTCCCTCTCCCTCTACCTTCTCCTTTCCCTCCTGAATGCGGCAGCAGGCGCGGGGCCGGGCGTAGCGACGCCCATGCAGGCCTCCTTTTTCACCTCCTCCTTTCCCTTCCTCTACTTCTACCGCCTCCGGGCGTCACTGACGATTGAGGCGTGGCCGGGAGCAGCCGTCACTCTGGCCACCTCCTCCACTTCCTCCGCCACCTACCTTCACCTCCTCATCGGGGTGGCGCTGGGCGCTGGATTGCAGTGTGCTGCGTCCTCCGCGCAAACCTCCACCTCCTCCACCTTCTCCTCCCTCAACCTCTGTTGCCTTTGCTCCCTGTGCTCTGCCGCTGCCCCTATGACCTCGGTTAGGCGGTTGTGGTGTATGAGCCGGGCAGGAAAGCGTCATCTCGCCGGAGATTGTGCTTGTGGTTGAGGGTGATGTTGTCCACCTCGACCGCCCAGTTCAGAATGCTCTGGTCGATGTCCCTCCTCACGCAGCGGCCCGTGGGCCACAGCAGCCGTCGCTGTAGAGCATTGGCTGGTCCGTACCCCTGTGGCCGGTCGTGGAAGACATCAGCCTGGCATTCCCAGATGACGTGGTCCTGCGAGCCGTGCTCGGCACCACATCAGGGGCAGCGCGGATCTGTATCCGAATCCCTCATCTTGGCCCAGCATAGCGGGCTCACCATCGAGCCTGTGAGTACCCATACCTTGGAGCCAGTCCGGCGTTTCACGATCGCGTTGATTGCCTTCAGGCTCTTGGCGTCGTACCTGACTCCTGCAAGTTGCCTCGAGTCACGCCTAGGCAAGCGCTTGAAGTCTAACCACATCTGCGTGCGCCAGGCCTCGCGCAGAACGTGGGCCAGCGCCTTGGGAGGCCGCCAGTGCTGCGTGCCCAGCGTGAGCGAGATCGTAAGATCGAGCCCTGGGCGCCACCATTCCCACGGCCTGTCCGGGACCGACTACCAGCCTGTCCAGGCTAGCTGTTCCCGCATCCTCTCGGCGCTGCTCTGCTTGGCCGTCCAGCTGAGCGGCGCGTGCCAAGTGGGCCCTCGCTTTGCGGCAGCGCGGGCGATCGACGCCAATGTGGTCTGCTGGCATCGGAAGCGAGCGTCGCCGCGGTGGCCGAGCACGAGGAGCCGCAGCGGCTGGGCACCCATTCTGGCCTCCTTGGCCGCCTTGTCGGTGGCTCCCTGGATCTCCATGATCATGTTCCTGGTGGGAGTCTGCTGGAACCACCCGAACTCCACCTTGGAGGTGGCTGCCGAGTTGACCATTGTTCTGCTGGTGTCCTTGCCTACGGCTAGGTGTACTGCTTTGAGAGCCACCTCCTTGGCAAGCTGCCCACGCTTCAGCGCCTTCCTCCCCGTCCGCCGTCGCAGGCCTTCCGTGACGTGGAAGCCCAGCGCGTCGATGGTCGTGCCAATCTGGTGGTCAGGCACCTCTTCCTCGGCTAGCTGCTTGGCTCGCTGCGGCTTCCGGTGCGCCCGCTGCCTCTTGGTCAGGTTCTCCACGAGGCCGAGCGTGGTGTTCCAGCTCTCCCAGGTGCGGCCGGCAGACATGAGAGCCCTGGGCGTCCTGGACGTCCAAGTTCGGTCGTCCACGAACAGGGTGGTGTTCACGCCAGGGTGTTTTTCCTGCACCTCCCCCAGGGGGGCGAATCACATTGCAGTCATTGCCATGGGTCAGAATGGGTCACCCTGTGGTACTGAGGTCCCAAACAATCTCCACAGTCTTGTGCTGATACTGGTGATAGTGATGCTGATAGTGATGATCAGGGTGATGCTGATAATGGTGGTGGTGATGCTGATGATGGTGGCGGTGATGTTGATGTTGATGATGATGATGCTGATGATGATGATGATGATGATGATGATGATGATGATGGTGGACGCGCTGGCGATGATGATACTGCTGTTGATGATGACAATGCGTTTGATGATGGCGGTGATGGTGATGACGGTGAACGAGATGATTACGATGATGCCGATGATACTGCACATAATTCGGATGATGCGATGGCGATGGTGATGATTGTCGTGATGGTGGTGGTGACCATATTGACGTAGAATGTGGTGTTGATGGTGATGGCGATGACGAAGCTGGAAAGGTTGACGATGATGGCGATGATGATGCTGATGATGATGATGGTGATGATGGTGATGCAGAGGATGATGATGATGATGATGATGATGATGATGATGATGATGATGATGCTGGAGATGATGATGCTGGAGATGATGATGCTGATGATGCGGATGATAACGTTGAAGCTAATGCTGAAGCTGGTGCTGATGGTGATGGTGAGGATAATGCTGATGATGATGATGATGATGATGGTGCTGATGATGCTGGTGATGGTGATGATGATGATGGTGATTATGATGATGATGATGATGATGATGATGATGATGATGATGATGGTGGTGGTGGTGCTGATGGTGCTGATGGTGCTGATGGTGCTGATGGTGCTGATGGTGCTATTGATGATGATGATGATGATGATGATGATGATGATGATGATGATGATGCTGATGCTGATGATGCTGATGATGGTGATGATGATGATGTTGATGCTGATGCTGATGCTGTTGCTGATGCTGATGCTGATGTTCGTGATATTGTTGATCATGATTACTATGATGATCCTGATGATGAGGAGGAGGGGAAGGATGAGCAGGAGGAGACGGAGAGCAGGAAACGGAGTGGACGGAGGAGGAGGAGGAGGAGGAGGAGGAGGAGCAGGATGAGGAGGAGGAGGAGGAGGAGGAGAAGGAGAAGGAGGAGAAGGAGGGTTGGGAGGTGGAGCAGGAGGAGGAGTAGGAACATGAGGAGGAGGAGGAGGAGGAGGAGGAGGAGGAGGAGGAGGAGGAGGAGGAGGAGTAGGAGGAGAGGTGAGCAGGAGGAGGAAGAGCAGGGCACCTGTGCCACGGGGTGCCTGCGGGCGCCCACGGAATAAAGGCGGGTATCAGCTCGTTCGTCACCCCTGCTTGCACGCAGGGGACAGTGGGAGGTCGCCACGTTGCGTCCCCCTTGCGGTGGCCCACCTGGTACCCCGCCAGGGCTCGGGCGGGGACGCGTGTCGCTTGCGCTTGCGGGCGGCTCACTTGAGAATCCTCACCCGCCCTTGCCACGGACTGGGTGCCCCGCCCGGGTGGTGCGTCGGGGCGAGTGACCGTCCGTGGGAGTGGCGCCCCATCGGCCGGCCTGGGGTGGCATTAGGGGCGTCGTCGTTTGAGCCCTGTGGAGCGGGCGTTGATCGAAAAGTATTTGAGCAGCGTGGCTTGCCTTGCCCCCCAGCTTGTCTGCTTTCTCCTGCCTCTGCAACTCGCTGGTGTCTTTTGTCTCAGCAGTGCCTTGGCTGGCCGCGGCTACGATCGTCCATGCTGTCACATCTGGCTCACAGGTCTGCGATGCGAAAAGATAGATTGTCTGCGCCCTTGTGAGTGGGGCGCGGTGGTGCAAGCCAGGATCTTTGCTTTCGCAGTAACACATCAGTCGTTGCTCGCCTAGTTTTGCATGGTTCACTGAACGCTGTGCGGCTCCTTTGCCCAGATTGCCCAGAAGAGCAGCAGCGGGAGAAGGAGGACGCTAATCGTGCACAGTCCCCCTTTTCGTCAAGGCTCCGATGGGGCCCTCCTCGGATCCGGTCCGCCCGTGCGGCTGTTATGAGACCCTGTCCCCCTGGCTGTTCGCCCCTGAGTTGTACCCGCCAGCACCTCGCGCGCCGCAGCCTCAGCTACATTTTGAGAAACAAGTGCAGTCAAAAACCCTAATATGGACGCGACTTTGCTCAGGGTACCCTTGCGTCCTTGCTCTTCCTTGCTCTTGCGTCCTTGCGGTTTTCGTCGTCCGCCGCCCCAGAAATCCCAACTTCGGCTTCCAAGGGTCCTGCGTCCTTACCGCGCGTCCTTGTTAGGGTGTTTGACTGCACCCGCACCCTGCTCCGCGGACCTTCCCCGGGGCGCGTTCTGCCCAGGAGATCTCGCGGCGAATATCCGGCCCCGGCGAGGGGGGAAGGGGGCCGCGGCGGCAGCACCTTGGCATCGCTCGGACGCGTGCATGGTTTCTCGGCGAGAACCATCGAGGACCACCCTGGGCCATCGAGCAAAACAAAAACACGCACGAAACCGAAGCGTGCACGGGAAATGGACGTCCGAGCGACGGCAAGGTACCGTCTCCTCCTCGGGCGCAGCGGCGGCCCTTCTCAGAGGCACCGCAAAAAGGGCACGAGGCGCGAAGTTGTGGGCGACCTCGGCACCCGTTCGTGTCGCGGGTCGCCCGGGCCCAGAAGATGGCCGCGGCCTCCGCCTCGCGGACTGGGATCGGTTGGACAGTGGTTTTTCTCTAGGATTCTGCGCGGGGGCCGCTTGAGGAGAGGCGCCCATGGCGCCCAGCCCGGCGCGCGGCGCGAACGGTTTCGGGAACGCCAAGGTCGCCAGGTCGTCATGTTCTCTGGCATGAGAGAGCGTCCACGCTCCACCCCCGCCCCCGCCAGTGAGGCCCTGGACAACACAACCCAACCTCCACCCCCGCCAGGATCCCCACCTTCGACCTGGTGATCCAGGTGGTCCTGGCCATGTGTGTCTGTCTGTGCATCTCCCGGTCGGGAGTGGGGGTCTTGGTTGTTGGGCGCCGCGTAATGGGGGGGTCATGAATGGGGGGGTGGCGAGCGTGGTCCGGAAAAGGTACCCAAACGGTACCTAAACGAGCCCCCTGGGGCTCTGGAGGGGCCCGAAAGGGGCACGAAAGGGGACCTTTTCTGACCCCCCCCATTTGTGACCCCCCCATTAAGCCACGCCCAAGGTTGGGGTGGGGTCTGCTGTGTTGCCCTCAAGGTCACCCACACTTCGCGCATGCCGCCCTCGCGGTGTCCTGCAGAGGGGGAGCCGCAGCTCCCGAGCGGGGGTGGGTTCCGGCAGGACGCGCCCGTCGGCCCCGTCGCCGCGGCAGGACGCGCCTCGGAGTCCTGGCCTGCACGCGCCCCGGGATTCTGCGGAGTCTGGCGAGAGCGGATGGCGTTGGAAAGTTGGAAAGATGGTCTGCGGTGTGGCTCCGCCGACCCGTTTGCTCCTCCTCCTCCTCCTGCTCCTCCTCCTCCTCCTCCTCCTCCTCCTCCTCCTCCTCCTCCTCCCCCTCCTCCTCCTCCTCCTCCTCCTCCTCCTCCTCCTCCTCCTCCTCCTCCTCCTCCTCATTCGGGATAGCTTGCACCGAGGAAGCCCTGGCAGGGGGATTGCGTGCACAGCTAAGGGGCTCTCGTGGGGGGATTCGCCTCACAGGGACAGCATCCTCCTCGAATATCCATGACGCGCACTATTTTTCCAATGCCAGCCGTAGTTCAGCGAGCGAAGGACGGTATTAAATACATTTTCTCGCTGTCGGGGGCGCCTGTCCCTGGGCGGCTGGGAAGTTTATACCCTTACGGTGGCACCGTAAGGGTATAAACTTTCCAGCCGCCCAGGGACAGGCGCCCCCGACAACGAGAAAGTTGATTTTATACCGTTCTTCGCCCGTTAAGTAGTGGTATCGGTATCTGTTCGTTCCCCCGTCCCGCGCCACCTTCGCCCTCGCCTGCCCCAGACCTCATCTTCCATGTCAGCTGCTCCTGGGGCGGCAGCGGCAGAGGGAAACTCATGCCGGCACGGCGCGTTCGAGGGAGCAGCTGACAGAACCGATGCCCGACCAGATGTCGAGGTCGAAGCTCGTCGCTCCAGGGTGCCAACGGGAGCGGGGAACAGGGGCGTAGTCATCAAAGGAGTGTTGTCAATTTGCTCCGGTTCGTCTTGCTGGTCGCCGAGCTTCAGTTCCACTGGCGGGGAGCGGATTCCATGGTAGTTGATATCGGAGCATTGAATCGAGGGTTGCTGATGTTCAGCAGTTCGATCGCTAACAAACCGCAGGGTTTTCAGGCCACTCGTTCTCTCGCAGTTGTCCTGCCGATACCGAACAAGCAGCGACGTGATCGCAGATCTTAGGGCAGGTCGACGAGGCAGCTTGTTGAGCATAGCCCTGAAGTAAATCGAAGTCTGCCGACCCTGTCGGCGTGTGGGGGGGACGTTTCTTCGTTCGGGTCGCCGTCGCCATTCTCCCAGTTTCCTTGGGACTTCTTCTTCAAGCGACCCAGCCAGGAAACAAGCAAACAACGTCCGCAATCGAGTCACCTGGAAACCTCCTTCTGATCGTTTCCCGGCGCCCAGGGGGGTCCGGGGGGTTCCGACCTCCTCCCGGGGGGTCCCACGGGTCGCGAGGGACGAAGTCCAGCGAATGGGTACCATGCCTGGCCAATTAGGGCCGATCCCGACTGCGCGCGGTCTGATCGGGCCAATCCCGGCTGCTCTCACAAAAACGTTTAGGAACAATTCTACGCTGTGGACATTCCAAATTTACATGAGTACGTTTAAGAACGCTCACTCGCACTTTCCAGTTTCCACCGCCGAAATCGGCCCCTGTTCCGTCGACTCCAGAGGAATCCGATATGAATCGTGCACGAGTTACATGTACATCGTATACGAATTCTACGCGAGTCGTTTACGATTCCAACATACACGGTTTCTTGTTGTGCATCGTGCATGGTGCCTATGTGAGTCGTAAGCGGATCCGATGTGTATCTTCACGACTCGTGTGTGGACCGTATAGGCCTCCTGTGTGAATCGTATACAGATCTTACGTGTATTGTATATGATTCCTATGTGAAGCGTATACGATTCCTATGCCAATCGCATCCGTTACCAATGGGAATCGGAAACGCTTTCCATGTGTTTTAGATGCGTCTCTTCTGTGAATCGTACACGGATCCCGTGTGGATCGTATACGGTGCCCGTGTGGATCGTAGACGGCCTTGTATGTGAATTGCACACGACTGCTTTGTGAATTGTGAATTGCATGTGCGTCCAATGTGAATTGTATACATGCCATTCAAATCGTATACACTTCCCGCGTGTATGTGTACGATTCCCGTGTGAATCGCGTACGGTGCTGCTGGACCGTATTCGAATTTTGGTCCAATCGCACACGATGCCAATGTCAACCATAAGCGACCCCGATGTGAAACGTACACATTGCCTATGTAAGCCGTGTGCGATTCTCATGTAAACCGACGCGGTTCCCGTGTGGTTCGTCCACGGTTTTTGTGTGAGCAGTATACGCTTCTTTTTCTGGTCGTCCACGATTCTTTGAAGAATTGTATGGGAGACTCGAAGAATCCGAAGGAGATCTCCCAGGAGGCCTTTCAGAATTCCGTGGAACACTTAAGAAGAGTTGCCTACAGCGAAATAAGATTACTCCCATTGAGTTGCTAAGTATGAAGCGCTGTATGTAATTATTGGCACGAAGTACTTACTTATCAAGAGTAAGTCTTCAAAAAGTATTGCTTCAGACGTCTTCTGAGTACTGGTAATAAGTACTACTTACGAAGTCACCAGCGCACTTCTTGAGAAGTCTTAAGAGTATTTTCCAAGGGAGGATTCTCAACCGCATTGGGACGATTCAGCCAGGATGAGTCCCAAACAGGCTGGGTGTGGGATCAGTAAGCCGGGATTGGTCCCAATATCGGTCGTGACCCCCTCCCCTTTCCGACCAAGACGGCCCAAGAGAACCCCACAAAGCCGCCAGAGGGGAGTACCAATCGAGTCGACGGGAAGGCCCTTGATCCCTTCCCCGCCCAGGGTGGTCGGTCCGGGGAGGGGATCGGTGGGGGCGGTCTCCGAGTGGTTCCAGGGGGGGTCTCTAGGCCAGCAGGGACCCAAAGGGCCACCACGATGGCACGCAAGCGTCGTCGACGTCGTCGTCTTCGTCGTTCCCCTGCAATGTCGGCGGCACCGGCTGTAAGGCCCTCACAATAAGATCAACGGCCGAGCGAGAGAGATGCTTGCCCATCTAGGCCTCGCCGGGATTTTCCCCTGCAGGCATTTTTCACATCGTCTTCAACCTCGGCTACCTGTACTCCCTGGCGCCAGGGAGGGGGGCAGGCAGTGAGCCCTGCAGAGCGACGTGCGGCGAGGCGAGGGGTCCCAGGGAGGAGGGGGGGGAGAGGGTGGAGCGAAGGAGGGTGGGGAGGAGCGCCAGGAGTAGAAGGAACAGGATATCGAGGACGAAGCGGACGAGGGTGGGCGCGAGGCGGGGACACGAGGATGATTTGCTACTTTGGTTGTGGAGCGCGTCTGCGCTAAAATCGGTGTCGCTACGCAGCCAACAGAGTCCCGCCCCACAGTCCTTAAATCAGCACCACCGCTGCCGCGGACCCCCCGCAGAAAGAGCAGGGGCAGTCGCAGCGTCACCCATACCAACACCTAATTCATTGATTCGCATGTCATGTTTTTCTGTTTCTGCTCCGACGAGATACATCCAGGGGTGAAGCCTCGAAGTCCCACACCACCATTGCGAAGGGCGATAGCTTTGCAGGTTCAGCTGGATATGCAGCTCACATCGATGATCGGTGAGCACTTCATCGCGGCTTCCCCCAACCAGCGTAAATTGTGTTCTCACGTTGGCGGAGGGGCGAAATATCCAGCTTGTGATTCCCAAGGGTGGGCGTCGCGTTCACAACCTACGGCGCAAACTACGGAGCATAACACATCAAATCGTTATCGGAAATTGGGGGGCAATCTTGCAGTGGAGCGGAGAGTTCCCCGCTGGGAGATCGGGTTCGGTTTCGTGTTCGTGCCGTGCGTGCGGGCGAAACGAAGCTGCGTGGGCGCGCGAGAGGAGCTCGGGGTGCAGAACTCTGGGTGCAGAACTCCGGGTGCAGAACTCTGGCCCTCGTGGGCGCGCGGTGGGCCGAGGGCGCCCCGCCGCTGTGCCTCCGTGCTGTCCCGAAGTCGTCCCGCGGTGAGGCGTCCCTCCTTTGGGGGGCGGCGGCCCCTGCGTGGCAGGCGCCGCTCGAGGTCGGCTCTCCCGGCGCGTACCTCTGCACCTTCCTGCTGGCAGGCCGGCATGGGAGGGCACGCATCTCACAGAGCTCTCCTCCTCCTCCTCCTCCTCCTCCTCCTCCTCCTCCTCCTCCTCCTCCTCCTCCTCCCCCCCTCCTCCTCCTCCTCCTCCTCCTCCTCCTCCTCCTCCTCCTCCTCCTCCCCCTCCTCCTCCCCCTCCTCCCCTCCTCCTCCTCCTCCTCCTCCTCCTCCTCCTTTCTCCTCCTTCTCCTCCTCCCCCCTCCTCCTCCTCCTCCTCCTCCTCCTCCTCCTCCTCTCCTCCTCCCTCCTCCTCCTCCTCCATGTTTCTCCTCCTCCCTCCTCCCCCCTCCTCCTTCTCCTCCTCCTCCTCCTCCTCCTCCTCTTCCCTTCTCTCTCCTCCCTCCTCCTCATCCCTATCCTCCTCCTCCTCCTCCTTCTCCTCCTACTCCTCCTCCTCCTCCTCCCCATCCTCCTCTTCCTCCTCCTCCTCCTCCTACTCCTCCCCATCCTCCTCCTTCTCCTCCTACTCCTCCTCCGCCTCCTCTTCGCTCCTCCTGCTCGCCCTCGAAGAGGACGAGGGCCCGCTCATGCCAAAGGTGGGGGAGTGGAACGGTCTAACTGTTCTGATTCATTGATTTCAAGGGCGGCTTCTTTTCCCTCCGCTGCAGTCGTCGGCAGTCGCTTGCAGCAGTCAACAGGAGTTGGGCGTGGAGCTCAAAAGAAATCGAAGAAATCCGAAGCATACACATAAACTTTTGGAGCTCCTCGCGGGTTTCTTGGCTCGGCGTTGGCGCGCTCCGCGCGCTAGAGACTGGGGGCTGGCGCCGATCCAAGGAATCCGCGTGGAGCTCCGAAAGTTTACGTTCATCATGTTCGTTCCACGAACAATGCTTGCAATTTGCATGTTTTGCTTCTTTTCAAGGGAGGCGAGCTTGCGGGCCGCTCTGGCCGCCATGTGGCAGCAGTCGCCGCCTCATCGTCTCCCGTCGCCGCCCGTCTCCTGGGCGTGCGGGCCGCTCTGTGGCAGCCGTCGCCGCCTCGTCGCCGCCCGTCTCCTGGGCTTGCGGGACGCTCTGGCCGCTATGTGGCCGCCGCCCACGCCTCGTCGCCGCCCACCGCCTCGTCGCCCGCCTGCTTGGCATTGCTCTGCATTGTTGTCCATTGCCCCGCCACACTTGCACCACATATCTTCACCACGGCTTACACCCCACAGATTGCACCATATAGCTAGCACCCCATACAGTGTTTGGCAGGTATTATCTTTTTCAGAAGGAACTGTGACTCTACCCCCACCCCCTCTGGACTCCTCGGTATTCCCTGGGATAGTACAATTTACATACGATTATGCCCTCGTTCATTTCAGAAATGAAGTCTAACCATCCCAGGAAGCCCGCTTGTCTTATCCCCCATCCCTATTCACAAGTTACTATGCTCGCATATTCGTTCACTAACACACCCCAAGTTGTGAGAATCCTGTTCAAACGTGTGACGAAGTCCCAACGCGCGTCGTGGCGCGCACATGTCAAAAACCTTCCAAGACGCCAGGTTCCGTAAAGAGCTTGCGATCGATGTTTCAACAATATTTGCATCTCAGTGGCATTGCAACACTATTTGTTATTTAAAAGTCGCGCACGCCATTCTTGCGATTTAAATGACGTCAATGGTTTTCCCAACTGAGACCACGCGGGGATCTCGCGCGCGCATATTGAAATCATTCGTCTTATTAGGGTGGGCACGATCCTTGTCAAATACTTCCATGCTGCGGGCCACTCGCGCGCGTCGGCCGCGCCTGCATGTCCAAGCAGCGACACCTGGACGTCATCATCGCCATCGGCGCGACCAGCATCCGCGCCGTCATTGGAATTGCCGTCGTTATGTTCATTATCGCCACCACCATCGCTACTGTCAGCATCGTTTCCACAGTTGTCGACGTCACCATGGTACCGCGCCCGCGCGAGTCACCGACCCGCACTGGGAGGCGGTGGGGAGGCCGCATCGGTCAGCGCCACCGCGGCGGCCGCGTCGGTTGTGCCACGTGAGCTGGCTGCAGTGCCCCGCGAGCCTGCGCGCGCTGGCGCAGCCGCAGCGATGTGGCAGCCAGTGCCAAGCAACCCCCACAAGCCCCACCGCATGGGTTTTGCAGACCAAGTTGATATCTTTTGGGTGGCATGTATGCGCGAGCAGTGGAGTTGGCAATTTCAAGTTTAGCAGGGTGAATTCCGGCACAAAGACTCTCTTGGGTAGATGTAGTGTAGACTCTACCCCCCCCGGCCAGGTCTATCGGTACCCCTTGGGGTCGTGCTTTACAGTTGACGTTGCAGTTCACATGAACCCATACCATCCAAAAGGACACCCGTATCGCCCCCCCATCATCCCTGTCGTATGGTACGATGCGCGCGCAATTGCTGCTCAAGACAAGAGTACCATATTCCTTGGCGTACAATGTGTCTTCGTCCAAGCGCGCTTCGTCGCGCGCATGCTGGAATCACCCACCACTTCATGTGTTCCCCAGATTTCAAGAACATAGCCAACGGTTGTCTCTGCAACACAGTTTGCGCGCGTTTTTGCAAATTCTTGACAGCACCCTTCGTTTGTTTCTGCACAGTCATCGGGTGGGTCCACGCGGGCCCCCTCGCTCGCAAACGTGGAACTCCGTCCACCCTTACGCGTCTGCTGCGTAGGCGCGTTCCGTTTCAAATTATACCATGCGGGCCACTCGCGCGCGTCGACCGCTCAGTCATGTCGAAATCTTCCCAACACCTGCATCAGCATCTCCATCGTCATCGGCGCGACCAGTATCAGCGCCGCCATTGGCCTTGCCGTCGTCATCGTCATCATCGCCAGCACCATCGCTACTATCGAATGGCATATGGCTAGGGGTCTTCTTTGAGGGCCTCTTGGGAATCGTTTTTAGACCTCTGGGGGCATCTTGAGGGCCTCCTGGGGGCCTGGCGCCTCCGTGGGGCCTCGGGGCCTCTTGGGGTGGAAGAATTGGAATTTCTGTTCGTGTTCCCCCTCTTGGGCCCCTCTTGGGGCAATCTTTGAGCCGTCCTGGGGTGGTTTGGGGCCGTCTTGGAGCCTTCTTGGGCCGTGTGGGGGTTTTATTGGGATCCTTTTGGCGTCTTGGAGCGGTCTCAAGGGCTTCGCGGGCCGCCTGGGAGCGTCGGAAGTTCGACGAGGCGAGGTTTCCAAGCACATATCGAAAACACTGGAGGCAAATCGGTGTTTTTGTTGCTCGGAACCCTGTTGGGATGGCTTGTGGGGCGCCTCGGAGGCTTCTTGGGTCGTCCTGCGGCGACCCTGGGCGTCCTGGACTGGTGCGTCGTGGACCGTCTTCGCGGCCTCTCGGGGTCCTGCGGGTCCGTGTTGGGGCCCTCTTTCGGCCCGCGCAAGTCACGCGAGAATAGGACCTGGACCCCAGGAGGTACGCTGCGCGCCCCGAGAGGTTTGTGAATGTTGGGCCGGGGCCCTTACATTCATTTCTCAGGGTTCAAGACTGGTGCCTTGGCCAGGAGATCGAGCAAGGACCTGAGGACACTCCAAGACGAGTCTCAAGGGCACAGTGGCGGTTCAACATCGTTTCCGTCGGTGTTGGCGGCATTCTGATACCGCGCTTGCCCGAGTCACCGATCCGCAATGATGCTCCCTCGGGCCAGCTCGGCCAGTGAGACGCGCTGGGATTTCTCCATCGGTCAGCGCCGCCGCGGCCGTGTCGGCTGCTAAACTAGCTGGGCGCTATGCGCGAGAGCATGCGCGCGCTAGCGCGCTCGCAGTGGTGCGCCCATCAGCACCAAACAGTCGTCGCAATTGCCGCCGCGTGGGTTTTACAAACCAAGACCTTCAACAGGCAATGCACCACGTAGGTTCCCCTTTCTAGAAAGTGGTGAGGATCTAGCACCCCCCCCAGACTGATCGGTCCGGCCTGGGGATGTGATTTGTTTCATGTGTTTCTGCCCCATGGCTCCTTCTAAATGCGGACTCGAATCATTCCAGCCGAACCGAATTCGACACCCCCCCCTCATCCCAGTCAAATAATGCTATTCGCGCTCATTCGACTATCACAAGCCATGAGTTCACAAGATTCCCTTTCAACACATGTGACAAACTGGCCACGCGCGCGTCGTTGCGCGCGCAGGTCGAGAACCTTCAAACTCCGTCGTGGCGTCGTAGTGATGTCAAACTGGAGGTCCCCGAAACACATATACCGAAGACACTGGTTTGCAGCATGGTTTTCAAACGAACTGCGCGCGCCCGCTCCATAGAGATACATCGTTGTTTGAGATCCATTGCTGTTTGAAGTATACACCATCTACGACCGAAAGGGTTGTTCGCTCGCGCGTGCCGACGTCATTCGAAAGCCTTGGCGCGCGTGCTAGGGGGGGAGGGCGGCGGCACGGTCCCTTTCAAATAGCACCGTGCGGGCCATTCGCGCGCGTCGGCCGCGTGCGCATGCCGAAATTCTAGACGCTTCGCGTATTCCCTGGCATTTTGCCACAGGGCTGCACGATGCTCGAGCTTCCCTGGGCGTTGCAGTTCAGCCAGCCAGCCCCCCGCCGCCGCTGCCGCAGCTGGTGCCTCTGAGGGCTGGCCCGGCCAGCTCGCGCTGCGCCCTGCAGCCAATTATTTGCGCGAGCGAGATGGGCACGAAAAGATTGGGTACGATGCCCAACAGCAGTTCCTGCTTATTTTGAACAGGACTCGCTGTCCGCGCCGCCGCGGCCTGTGACCATCTGAGAGAGAAGACCGCCTGCCCAACAGCGGCCGCTGTTGGTTTGGAACAACATTTGTTGTTGGGCATAGTACCCATTCTTTCCGTACCCATCTCGGGCGTCCAAAAATTAGGTTTGCCCGTCGGCCCGGACACCTTGTTCGCCGACTGCGCTTCTCGCTGGTGGCCGCGACCAAAAAATATATATCCCCACCAGCCCATCCAGAAAAGATGTCCAGGCGAGTTGAGGTGATCCTGGAAATGCGGCAGCAAAGAGGAGGACGGTCGAACCGTGCAAAGGAGTGAGGAGGAGAAGGAGGAGGTGGATG